AACAATGAACAACAAGTATCTATCACATGTGTCCTGATTATATTGTAATCACAGGATTTATGATGTACCAACAAATTAAATAAACTTTATTATTACCAGTCTCTATTGGGAATTTTTTGTTTAATCCCTTTTCAAAAGAAGCATTCCATAAAAAGGGGAGTATGCAATGTGATGCATTTTACAGAATTATATATTTGTTTATTTAAATGTTATTGTTTCAAAATAGAAATAAAACAAAAGCAAAAAGAAAAACTGCAGGTGCCGAACTAAGGAATTTCACACTGCCAAACCTACAATGTAGAACTTTATAAATGTTACCACCCATGGCCAGGAATTATAAATATTTGTGCATCAAAATCAGTCAAATGTTTGTGCATCAAAATTAGTCAAATGTATGGGCTACAAAATCTATAATAAGGGGAAAAAAGAACTTTGAAAGATATGTAACTTGACAGGAAAATTACACTAAGCAATTAATTCAAGGAAACTCCTTTTTAATTTCTATATCTTCTGTGGATTTGTTTTCTTTTCTGTTTGCTTGTTTTGATACAAAAATAGGTTAATTAATATACATACGACCACCAATATAAGATATTAGAGTTCCAACAACTGAGGTCGAAAGTAGATTTGAAGAAAAATGCTTGAATTCAAAGACATCAGAAGAACAAATTTAAAATGAACAAATTCTGTTTTTTTATGTCTCAATTTTGCTATGACATATTCCAGGGGTGCAGAGAGCAGAAGTGAGCGTAATCCCTGGATATCAAGGATGCAGTACTTATATACCAAATCTGGTTACCCCAGATGAAGTAGTGTAGAAGATATGCCATGGACAAAACTTTTGGGACAGATGGATGGATTGGTTTGGTTTAACGTCCTATCAACAGCTATGGTCATTTCAGGACGGCCTCCCCTGTGTGCACGATGCATGCATGTGTGTTTTGGGAGGCTGCGATATGTTCGTGTTTGTCTCCTTGTGATAGCGTGGAACTGATGCCAACTTTATAGTGCTACCTCACTGAAACATACTGCCAAAGACACCCAGCAGGACACCCCACCCGGTCACATTATACTGACAACGGGCGAACCAGCCGTCCCAGTCCTAAATTGCTGAGCGTAAGCAGGAATAGAAATTTTTAAAGACTGGTATGTCTCGGCCAGGGGGCAGAACCCAAAGCCTGCCTCACAGGGGCGAACACTAAACTAAATGCCAAAAGTGAGGCATTGTCAAGGGAGACATTAGGAAGAAGAAAGTTGGTTAGAAAGAAGAGAAAAGATAAGATCCCAAATTCAGTCACCTCTTACGATCATGCAATGGGGTCAGCAGGTACAATTCTTACAATTAAGATATCGGTTAGGCATTTTAACTGAACTGCAAATTATATATTTACTTCACTGTCAAACAGATGCTAATAATCATACTTAAGCTTAATGTTTTCAGTACTTGTAATTTCTAGATTTCTGATTTTCATAATCAATGACGATCTTAATCTGTATCAACCATTTGATCTGTGATTCTGTTTCACATTCTACAAATTGATAACACATTTGACATTTCTCCGAAATCAACCAAAGTTTCAGAAAATTAACAGTTTTTCCTGTGACAATATATATAAAAGTGATCTGAGTGAACAAATTCCTTGCACTCAAGCTTAAGGGGTACAGTCACACAACACCCTATTTCTCCACAAAGAAAACAAAGAAAACAACATTTGTTTACCTACGTGGCGCTGAGGACCAATAAATGTCCCTCCCCGGACCCCCCTTATGAGAGGTGGGCTCCTGCCCCCCTCTCGTGCTCTCCCCCTGGCTCGCGCCACGCACAAGTTACAGTTTTACATATTTAACCGTTGTGACATTGAAAGTAGGTCAAGGTCATTCTCAAAGTTTGTTATCCCAGGAAGCCACCAGCCAAATATAGAGATTCTATACTTTTCAGTTCAAATCACTTAGAATCAAAACTTTTTTCTTAAAATGAGCCATCATAGGAAGTTTTTGGTCAAGAATTTAGAAACATTTGAGATACAAGATCTGAATTTTTTTATATAACTGAAAAACTGTCAAAATTGTACCAATATTGTGGTAGCGTGACATTAAGGAAGTAATCCTTTAAATATTATTGTGTTACATTTAAACAATTATATCCAACCAGGCATATACTTAACCTAATTGACACAACCCTGTGATCTACAATCCAATTGCATAGACACTGGTGGTTGGGTTTTATTGTGTGCTTTGACAGGTGAAACAGTTTAAACGGGAATGTAAATAAATATACAACAACACACAACAATGTGCTTATCCAATACACACAGGTCATGGTAAATAAACAAGTTGACACTTGCTACTTAAAAGTACTTTAAACATCGTTCGAACCGGACGTAATCAACGATAATATATGATTGTTATATTCAAAAGGCAGGTTTTCATGATAAGGAGATTGCAGAATTGAAGTCATACATAACACGGTTGAATAACTTTGGAGAAGTTGAACTAGGCCTAAGTAAGATCATGAAAACGAACACAAAGTCGAAAACTTGGACCAATATATTGGAGTAATTTCTCAGGATTGTGGGCACAAATTTTAAATATTTTAACTCACCCTGTTGAGGGTTTCCGTTGTTCCTCATTTATATTTCGTTGTCATCACATTTGATAAGAAAACTAAGAGTAAAACACTCGTAAATCACAACACGCAAGCACCACTGACAGTTCTCAATCGTCTGCCTTTTACACGATTCCACGAAAACGAGGCAACGGGAATTTTTCCCTTTTTCATTTCAGAGTGGTCTCCCTTTACCCATCAAAAATGTGTTTATACCGTTAACCCAAAAAGGGTGAAGCCATCATTAACGTTATTAATTATTTGACTACCGGTAATAGTTAGCTTTCTGAAATTAGTGACTTATGTTATTTCACGATATTTTCAGAGGTAACGTTAATTCAGAGATATACGTCTCTGGTTAATTAAAATCTCAATCAGATGAAAAAAAACACCATAAAATATTTAAATAAATTAAATTAAAACTGAAGTCTATATCTAAAAGATGAAGTCACTAAGCGATGATAACGATTTCACAAAGAGTAACTGTGACCTTTAATGACATCTTTTGAGATGTTTTCTATAAAGGTTGATCAAAATCCATTCAAAATGAATGACGTAACGTGTTATATGTCTTTGCGTGTACGTACTGTACGAGGGTCTTGCTGCGAAGTGATAACTTACAACTTCCAATAGTGCCCAAAATTCCAATTTGTTTTTAAATAGCAAAAAAACAAAAACAGCTTGCCATACTGATAGCATACATTTTAGTTAATACTATAACGCGGGAACCAAGTCGTACCGTTTTACGCATATGACACTGCTATATAATGTCACTATATTAATTTATTTGTGGGTCGAGGGTTAGTCTGGGCAGATACGTATATTATACATTATATGTCTCTGGTCTGGGCCTTACCCTGGTGTTTTATACGAGAGGTTTCGTTTTAGATCACTCTCCTCTCGTACAGACTATTAGTTATATCCGTGGTTAGGTATGTAGGTGTTATTTACACCAGGTAATATATGATCATATTTCCCTTTTGGAATTCATATTGATATGGTGAGTATGCCATTCACACAGGTGATACAATCTCATATGTACACAACCTAGAGCTATATCATATATTCCATTATAATATAAAACGTAAAACGATGTAAATTTATTTACTTGATATCGATATGGTGACGAGGCGAACCGCCCTTATCACGTACATGTATACCTTCTTATATATAATTATTCACTGCGCGTATACGTATATACGTACACTTATAATCACCGCCGGGAAAATCGAACCATAGACGAGTGATTAACCATTCACTAGAGTTCTATTGAAGTGTGGCAATATCTTACAGTTAAAAAAAGTATCACTTTCTGCTTGCACATGTTGACGTCATTCCTATTAGACACAAAGTAAATTCAATCTGATTAAAATCATATGTTACATGCATGGCTTCGTTAACTTCGTACTACGCCTGTTCAGGCGGAGCCATGTAACAGAGGATTTTAATCAGATTGAGTAAAATTTTACTGTTTTGGGCAAAGTTTTGACTTATCACGGTAAAATGTTATTAATTGATTAGTAAAAAAACAAAAACAAAAAAAACAAAAAATTCGCGGGATAATTTTCGTTATAGGACAATAAAAAAATAAGTGCGAAAAAAATTCGGAAGAGGGTCGATTGATATAGAATCCAACTGGGAAATAACGTAATGTAAAAGAATTATTGTACTTCATTGTAGGTCTATCTATAATTTACTAGGTCGGTTTGGGGGTAAAACATCTTGCCGCGTGATCGGGGAGCGGGGCCAATTGAACTACATATGATCGACGCCAGCATACGTTAACCAAATGGCATGTGATTCATACCATAACGACACAAGTGGCATGTGATTCATACCATAGCGACACAAGTGGCATGTGATTCCTACCATAACGACACAAGTGAAAAAATGAACGAATGAACAAAAGAAGGAAACAAACAAGCAAAAAGTGACGAAAGAAACATAAAAGAACAAACGCGAACGAGAGTAAGAAAGAAAAATAATTACCGAAACTGAATTATCAAGTGGTATTAGATATTTCTCCGACAAACACCATAGGTTTCCATAATCAATCATTCATTCTTTTTTCTTCTTTTTTTCATTCCTCACTCCTCGTCGGATAAACATGTCTGGTAATTAATTATGGACATTATTGTATTAGTTATTCATTTCTATGCGCCGTCATCTTCAAATTATTTACATCATAATGTATCGCAATCGTTTCCCCGATCGTACACACTAATGGAAGCATGTGGCTTTCTATAAATGAGATGAACGGCATAGAAGAAATGGAGGTTCACCAAACGTGTGATGGTAGGTCATTATCTTTATTTTCCTCAAGTCAGTAAATTTTCAAATTGAATTTATAAAAAAAAATACGAAGGTTTATTTTACCGGTTGTCTTTTACAACTTTAAAAAGTATTTGACTCGAGTAAGATGAGCACTATCACCAGCCACCACGCGATTGGGGAACATGTTTATTCAATATGTAAGGTGATGCATAGTGTTCTACAACTTCATTGGTAGGATCAGGATCACGTTTATGTCGGTGATTTGTGATAATGACACGGTGTTACTATTTTTAGAAAAAGAGCAGGCCAATACTCTCTTTTTGACGTCACTTAAATTGTAACGTCATATTGCTCTAAAAGACTGTCAAATGCAGTACTTTTCTTTTGACGATTTCTTTACGTTCCAACTCGTTTAATAATAAAAACAGCATAGTTTCATATCTTATATATCAATAAGGGACTTTTATTTCAGTAAATATGTGGTTATGAACCTGAAAAGGATATATCAACCTCGAAACCTCAACAAAAGTCTATACTTGATAAATATCAAATGCTGGAATACAGTCATTGTTCATATGCTTCTATACTATATATTAGATTTACATGTTGTTAAGACAAAATTATTTGATTTCATATATATTTTACTAAAACGATTACACAAAAGCCCGGCCCTAACGTTACACATGAAAAGCATATTATTCATAAATTATATCATCCACCCAAACACGCGCGCGCACACACATACACACATACACACATATATTTTATTATCATAAAGCAATTACTCCACAACTGATTGTAGCTAGCATGCTTCGGCCCATGTAACACCTAAGACAACAAGGCGATGCTTATCGTTCCGTTGCCTCATGTAACGCGAAATGAAATACATGTATATTGTTTTTAATACATTACCGAACAGAAAATCGATAACAATAAATGGAATCCGTTTAATAAGCGATAATAGTCTGCCAATTGCATGATATCATACATTCATACCATGAAAAATCAATCATCTGTGAGCACTTTCTTTCGCGGATTTGTATAAACGCAACTTATTTTTTGGTGCCGTAAATCGACGTTTGCTGACACGTCACATTTAACATGTCTTCAACAGTTTTGGAAATATCCAAAATGCATGGCTGTTTTGGTCGCATATCCCGTTCTATGGTGAAGTTAACGATAAATACCACGTCACCCTTTTCCGTCGCATGCTCGTTATTTCACGGAAATGGCCGATTGCAATACATATCACATTTTTGTACACATCATTCGGGTTAACAATCTCATTTTAAGGTAGAGTGTCTTATCACTTTTCTACTAGTCATACAAAACTATTTTCCTTAAATTTATCTTATTCGTACTTTATTTAGAAAAAAAAACAGTTTGAGGTTGTGGGTCAGTTTAGGGTGTTTGACAATTTTGAAATTGTCTCGGGTGATGCTGCAGAAAAATATTAACATAATTAATATCATGACCGATGAGGCAGTGGATAAGCTCTCTGTTTTAGAGGTTTGGGGTTAAAGGATTTTTTTCTTTCCGTCTGAAATGGGAAATTACGAGAAAAAATATCTTTCGTATGTTGCCATTAACTCTACTAAATGGAGAAAATGCCAAACATGTTGGAACTATTCGCGACAGAAACAACACAAAATCACGGAACATTTTACCTGAAGGATCCTGTCCAACTGAAGGCAAAATACTGGATAATTCCATAGTCCTTATTCAACAGTAATCTCCCCTTAACTTCGTTTTGGACATAACTGTCTTCCCTGGGAACTACAGCTGATTTGGTATCTCCGCTAGTTGGAGCGACCGTATTGTGTTTGGAGGTTGAGGGTCCGAACTCCAGCCTGACGAGTTGTATTTTTACTCTCAGAACACTGTTGTTAACATATCTTCTGTTTATGTCATCTATTTTTCATTAAAGTTCCGCAATGTATCGGTATCTTTTCAGAACTGTTTAAATAACACTATCGTGATACAGATACAAATATCCTCATCAAAATTAAGGTTTTTGTGGCAACGGTACTGGAATCATAAAGGAGCTCCGTACCACTATCATAACTATACAAACTTAACCATTTAGACTGTTTTGCAGCTTGACTATATCTAATAGCTTTAAGAAACCCCTCTGAAAAGAAACCAATACCATGCAGAACAATCTACGATTAAAAAGTATAAACAACAGTGCTCTATACTATGTAACAGGAGAGTAAAATTCCAATATGGCCAGTTTGGAATTCAAAGCCTTTCCCTCCGTACTCGTGACGGGCACTTTAACAAGTTGAAAAACCTGTTAAACGATCAACATGTGGCTCCGTTTCGCTCCAATCCTATCTTAACGAAATTAAGGGTAAATCGGTCAAAACAGTTAAATTCTAGCGTTTCCCCTGCGATGAGACAGGGAAACTTAAGCGAATTGTGTTGATGAGTATTGTAACTAAGTAAATTCCATGGACTTAACTCCTAAAGAAATCATGCTATACATCCACAATATCGTTATCTCCGGTTTTCAGATCGGGTTTTGCCGTCGTTTTAAAACTACTTTTAAATTTCCTTGAGATAGATGATAGAGAAAATTTCTTCGGCGCAGACGCACTAGCTGTAGAAGATGCAAGCCCATGACCTTTATTGCTAGCTTCTGAATCTGAGGAAATGTCTTCGATCTCTTTAAGTGTTGCTGAATCGAGAGAGGAGACATCCGACTCTACCGGTTCCAACTTAGTGCTCTCGCGGGGATCAATACCTAAAAGACTCGTTAGCGTCGGTTTGCTTTCTGTCGCATTTGCACGTTCACTTTCGCTGTCAAACGACAAAAAGTTCACGACACCTTCAGGTAGATCCGGATATTGGAGTTCCTTTTCGAATTTGCTCGTAGTTTTGAGATCTTCGTCTTCGCGATCAGAGGATGGATTGACTTGGTATTCACCCCCACTTCCCGTTTCACTTTCGGTATCCTCACTTGACGATTCACTAGATGAAGTCGGAGGAGTGACGAGTAAATTTGACACTTGAATCACGCGTAACTTCTCTCCTTTTTGTTGTGGTTCTGGTAAAACCTGGTCATTGGTATCGTAGAAAGGATTATCAAGAGAGACGCTCTCTCGTCGTCCAAGGGCGGTTGGTTTCATGCGAGCTTCAACATCTGATTCTTTGTCGTTATCATCTAGTTTTGCATCTGATGTGTTTTGTTGAAATTTGGAAAAATCTAACGTATCAAATGATGGGTTTTCAAGGGTAACGCTCGTTCGCCTTCCCTTTCCACCAGACTCTGTCGTAAGTTGCAGCTCATCGATCTGATCGTCGTCTTCCTCGTCGTCTGCAATGCCTTCTCCATTAACGTCCGGATTAACAACATACTCCATCAAATCTTCATTCGATTCCTTACTGTCATCACTGTCGTCCTCAGCACTAGATGCGTTTAAGAGGTGCTCGTCTGGGGGGATTTTCAAAACATTAAGCTGATTCTGCACGTCTGTGCTACTCTCGCCCATATCAAATCCAGACATTAAAAGTGAGGTCGGTTGGGCTGATGAACTTTTATCTATGGATATATTCTTTTCTTCGAAACTTGAGAAATCGATGAAGGGTTGCTTTGTTGAGCTATTAGCGAAACGTTCATCTGAAGAAGGAGCAATAGTCAATGTCTGAGAATTATTGCTCTTTGAGTGGTCAACAAGCGGTAGGAAGTCGGATGTTTCTCCATTACACTCGTTTGGTATACTATCAAAAGGACTGGAATCGAATGATATCACTGATTGTTCGGTTTTCGTCGTTTCGTCTTCCTGGTCTGCATTCTCCGTAACTTCACCCCCTTCTTCAACGTCGGACGAGTTTGAGTGTTTTTCAATGTCCTGGATCAGTCTTTCAAACTGCACTTCTGCCTTGTTTTTATAAGGAATTTCCAAACTGTCTGTTTCGTCAAGACTTAAACCCGATGAAAAATAATCTTGTTCCGCAATTTCAGCAACTGGAAGATCCTCTTCGACTATTTCTCCACTGTAAACAGATGACAGAGAATCTTCTCCAAAAGACTTGGTACGAGCCGTTAACTCCCGCATCTCGTCTCTAGTGAGATATCCTACAATATCTTGATTTGGAACAGTATGGTCTTCTTTTTTGTGTGCTAGTTCTTCCGGTTCTTCCGATATTCTTTCTGTTGCAATATCAACCGCGGCACTTTCTGGTTGCATATCAGACATTTGACCATATGTGGCACCCCTATAGGTATCATTCGTTAAGTTTACCCCTTCCAACTGTATCTCGTCTAACAACGAGGGGACGGAGCTCACTTCGGCGGCATCTTGTTTGCTGCTCGCCTCTGTTTCGTTTGCAATGTCAGTTAAAACTGCAGATATCTCAGAAACATCGGGTATCCCGACGATCAACATTTCCTTCTCATCGGAAAATTTGCCACATGTCAAAGCGTTGCTTTCTTCAGGGACAGAAAATGTTTCATGTTCTCCTTCAACATCATCTACCTCCGTGACGTCAGGAAGTACAACGATATGCTCTACTTGACCAGATTCGTTGATTGGCTCTGATTTACCAATGCTCTCGAATGAGGATTTTGTCTCCTGCTGAAGCAAATTGTTTACCTCTGTCATTATTTCCGCAGTTGTAAAATTCGTTTCCTTTCCATTCTCTACGATAAGATCATTCTGTGTTTTCATGGATTCTTCTGTTTTGTTATCTTCATCTGTACTAGTTGATGATTGGCTACCTTCGTTATCGTCGACGTCGTCCGTGAAATTCAAGCCTTGTATTCCAAGCTTCAGTAACGGTCTATCCGGCTTGCTTACACCTTTAGCATTTTCATCTATTTCATTTTGCTCCACAGCATCGTTTGCACTTGGTACGTCAGAAGAAACTCTTACCTCTACCAACTCTTCATTGTTCGATTGTTCGTCGTTGTCCGGCATTTCCTTATCTGTCATCTGTTGCTTTTCTGCGTGTACAACCACATCTACGCTTCCGGGAACAACCCCTGTATCCGAACTGATTCCCGGTCCGTCTTGTTCATCCACATAAGAACTATCGTGAGAGTTCTGTCTGTCTAACACCTCGTTGAGATACGTAGATATGCGTTTTCGTTTGATCTTTGGTGCATCTGTAACTGGCCTGAATCCTTCCCCATCAGAGTTCTCGTCTGATGCAGAATTCTTTTCCTCCGTAGAAGATGTGTCAGAAGTGTCAGAAGAAGAATCTGAAATATTTGTTACTTTTCCTTTCTCCCCCTCCTCCTCTTCTTCTATAACAACTTTGGGACCAGGAACAACCTTCTTTCTCTGTTTCGTGTAAAACCGTTTCTTCATTTCTGGACTGTCTAAATCATCTAATCCTTCTCGTAGTCCAATACTTCCCAACATGGTAAGTCCGGATGTCGGTTGGTATTCTTGTTCGTCACTCAAATCAACGTGGTTGTCATGAGAAACACATTTTTCTGCAGACATTTTCTGGATCTCCTTCTCGAACGAATCTTGACGTGTTAGCGTGGCGGTGGAAGATTTTCTACTGTAAGCCGGATTGGTGAATTTGCCGAAGTCTTTGCCAATGATCATCCTCACTGGGAATTTCTTACGGTACCAGATATATAAGGCAACTCCGGCAATGATGAGAAGTACAACGGAAACAGTGACACCGGCGGCAATGGCAGGAACATCAACATCGGAACTGTCGTCGGGTTCCGTCTGACCTGTCGCCTTTGTCGGCTCGGCGCTTACCTGTAAAAACAAGTAAATTTGTGATTAAAAAAATTGATGATCATACAATAGAGACTTATTGTTAAATGTTATTGTGTTCCTATCGTTCTTCATGTCGCTTCAGAGCTTTTAATGATTGACTTACAACACTTAAGTGGTGAATGGGGGAAAGGGTTTAAACAGAAAGAAACTGGCGTAAACGGTTAGGTTTGCTGAGATATAATATATAGAATATACGGATATGGAGACTAGAACTTGCAGTTGACATACATTTAGCATTCCCAAGACTGGTGCAGCGTAAGGATAGCTCAACTGAAAGCTTCCAAAGCTGTCAATACGCTGATAGGCAGGTGAATTTACCAAATTAATAAACAGAAAAACAAAACAAAACAAGAACAAAATGCTTGTTGTACCCCGTTGTCCCACTACCAAGGGCCTGCCCTTGACCCGCACCTAAATGAACCAACTCCAAACAAAGGCTAGCTAAGCCCTTACTTTAGTTGAGTGAAGTAGGATGGGGCCGGTCAATCATAAAAAAGCATGACTGAAAGGAAGCTGGGACGCTATGCCATGTTATTATAAAGCGAAGTGTGTTTTTCAAGGAAGTTGTTCTGATCTTAAATCAAATGTTAGTTGTCAAATCAAGCTGTATTACAATAAAATCTATTGGTGTACATGTTATCGCGGGACGTGACGAGATCAATACATACTGATTAGCCACGTGTAAATACACGGAAGTCACTTTGAAGTATACGTGGGTAGTACATGTATCTACAGGTACACGATGTATACCGTAAAATATGTCAATGGCGCGCCGATAATTTGTTATCGCTTGGACTCTCCGACTATCCAATTTGGAAACATTGACACTTTCCGTAAACTAGAAAATACTTTCTGGATTACAGAAAGTAGCGACGGTTCCCGGTATACTTTGTTTCTTTAATGAATTAATTCTGGTAGAAAATAATGCGTCACAATGCAAACCAGAATTAATTCCTGAAAGAAACAAAGTATACTCGCCTACTGACAATATATATTTCTCTTTATTGTAGTCGGAGAACCGGGAACCGTCGCTACTTTCTGTAGTCCAGAAAGCATTTTCTAGTTTACTGAAAGTGTCAATGTTTCCCAATTGGATAGTCGGAGAGTCCAAGGGATAACAAATTATCGGCGCGCCATTGACATATTTTACGGTATTCATCGTGTACCTGTAGATACATGTACTACCCACGAATACATCAAAGTGACTTCCGTGTATTTACACGTGGATAATCAGTTTGTATTGGTCACGTCACGTCCCGCTACTGCTTCCTGCTAGATGTTATGATGCTGAGAAGTAAACATATCCAACGTGAACCACTCCAGGCCGTAGATATAAAACCTGTTCCAGTAGATATAAAACCTGTACCAGTAGATGTAAAATCTGTACCAGTAGATATAAAACCTGTACATAGTGTATTAAGTTCTCCTGACTTAGCGGTAAACTAAGTCGTTAGATACACTATCCTTAGTGCATTTTATGGTCAATAATAATTATCACCGACACGAAGCAAAACTCATATAAAATACATGTACACACGAATACGCGAATAAGTGTTACTTGACAATGTAATTATAATTTTGACCAATGGAAATGAATGCGTTTGGTTAACGAATTGGCGTTGGGCTTTTGACAATTGGAGAATTTAATTTAGTATCACTCCTAAGAAATGCAAACAAAGAGTTCTCAATCCAAGGATAAATGCATTAAACATGTTTACTTTGTTTGATTTGCTATTTTTTAAGTAGGCACTTCGTTACTCCGTATTTTTCTATTGGTTAATTTGAAGTTCAGCCATGCAGAGTGCTAAACCTCAAAACTCTTCTCCAGGTGACAGATGTGTCTGCAGCGTATGTAAATGATAAGTGTTTGTCTAAACAGCGGATTTTATATGAGTTTCCATTTCAAATGAAATTTATGGAACGAGTCTCAAGACTTTTTTATTTTGTTTTATTTTATTTCAGCCAACCCGAGGCTCTGATGAGCTACAATTAAAAAATGGAAACTAGTTTCTAAATCTCAAATGAAATGGAAACGAATGTAAGATACTGTTTAGTGTGTAACTATGCTTCGTTACAAACATTTATAAGGACAAAGATTTCTTAGACTGACTTGAATTCTAAAATATCGACGTTTTGACTCCAAATTTTCCTCTTGATGTGACGTTCAATTAGAAGGCTGTCATGAACATGTCCTACCTTAGACGTCATTATTAAAATAATGGAACCTTACAGCCAGTAATATCTCCGAAATGTTAAATTAAATGTGCGCTTCATAACAAAATATATAATTGGTGTTATGACACTGAGGGTAGCTTTGTAAAAAGTATATGGAGTATACACAAAGAGGGACAGCGATTACGATAAATACGGTTATATATACAATTAGTGCATAATGGTTCATCTTTATATACACTCTGTAAACATAATACACGGGAGGTCGTTAAATACGTTATCTATGGTATACACTATCAGTACGCGTCCTATAATCAGGATACATTATATTTACCTGATCATTGAAGCCTACATGGACGGCTCTCTGATAGGCCGCGTGATACTTGGAGACCGGTCGCGCCAGGTACCTCATCTGTAACCCACCATGTCCTGTCGCGGCCATCTCTCCACTGGTGTACGATACACGTAACAGGCTAGCGCATACAGTAAAAGCACCACTCGGCTCCCCTCCTCCAGGGCGAGACGACCAAACGAGGATCCCGACCCCCGAGAAACGTCCGACATATTTGTGGATCTCAAAAACGACACCTTTGTTTGGGATATCGAATGTCTCAAAGTAAATATGAATACACTTGTTATCCATTGGTTGTATATCCCACTTGCATGTCATATTTGAATAAATTATATTTCCTGGGAAACCAGGTGTGGCGATAAATTTACTTTCGTACGTGGCTGTCAACACGGAGCCATTTGCCGGGCACGTGGTAACGATACATTTTGGCGGGAAATCGTTCCAAGTTGTATTGGCGCCATCATGCAAACATGTTAAATTTTGGGGGCCAACTAATGCAAAAGACTTCTGACACTTAAAGTTTACAGAATCGTTTGAGGTCAACCCAGATATACTTCCAAACCTTGGAGCGGCCGGCTTCTCGCACCCTTTAACACATATAGGACTACTTCTGGTCCAAATAGGAATGCCTGTATAAGGGTCCCTGACACAGGCAATATTCTCAGGCCCTGACAGGATGTATCCATGCTGACAGGAAAACCGGAAGTTGGTCCCAATAGCGAATTCTTTTGCTTCTCCAATCCTTAGAGAATTATCAGGAGTTCCCGGATCTGGACAACGGTCACTGGGTTTTATAACGCTGACGAAAATTTCGAAACGCAACATGTGTTGCTCGCAATTATTAGGACCCACACTTATCGTAATACTGTTTCCGTGTAGTGTAAAGTGGGTAATATTTGATGTTTTCACAGATACATTCACTGTTTGTTGGACATTACTGCTGTCCAGGGTCGATAACTCGAGGGATACATTCGAACTAGGTATAACATTAGCATTATAAGAACGTTTCAGGTAAGTTATAAATATATCCTCGTCATTATTGAATTTAATTTCCTTCTTGCATCTTGTCAAATCCGTTAGATCGTTGGACGATATTCTGTATGATATGCGATCTGTGGCGAGCACGGCGGGTTTTATGAGGTAGAACCCGCCATTACGAGAGATGGCCATCAGCAACAGCAACGATAGCAGTAACCAGCGCATGGTCGGAACAGCGGTCAGCCTAGGCCGGGTATATAACTAACAGAGATATGTCCTCAGTTGTGCATTCCCCAAGGCTGTAATTCATTACCCTGCACATTGATAAGAAAGTGACGCATTAGTTTATAATACTGACTTAGAATTCAAAGATAACGGTAGTGTTATTTAGTATTAGATGCAATTTGTATCAGACCCAATCTATACGTATACTGTACGCATGCGTCTTATCGCTATAAACGTTTACAATTGTGTAGTCTGAATATTCCCTAATGTCGTGCGCTACCAAAAAAGGGGTAAAAGCCTCTCTCTCTAACGTAATGATATATTTTTTATGCAATGAGAATATTGAATTTATCAGCAATATTGCAATAAAAATGGAACACTTTAGGGTAAATAAGCTACATATGTAGCAATGGTTGATTTTCTTACCACAAGTGTTCGATTTATTTTTTGCGTAAGCTCAATTTTTTATTTGAAACAACATCAAGTTGCTCGCTCATTGACATGATTTGCTGTTTCAAACGTAAAAATAAATAAAAAATATCCAATAGTGAACACGCGCCATACATATTTAGATTTCGTGATAATCTTTATTAATTGATATTCTGAAGTCCCAAAGGAAAAAGAGGTTTTTTTAACCATTGTGTAAAGTACATTTTAGGTATCTTCTTTCAAAATATTGCATACATTAGAAGGAAACATGCTTATGTGATAAACATTGGCGGATACACTAGTATTTTTCCTTTCAAAATATGTACCCCGGCCCCTCCCTTCGCTGAACTACACGGTCTATGTATAAAAAATATATCAGTGATTAAGTATGACCGACGATAAACTTTATCTAAGCATCATTTGTAACACAACACTATGTAGGAGTATATCTAATGATGTTATCATATTGGACGTTATCAGTCGGCGAACATACTGTATAGCATGTATAATACAAGCTGTGTTACAACGTGTGTGTCGTGTGTGTAGTACGAACGTAAACATAAAAACTAAATATCAGAATATGTTAGATTCGTATAAGAAATAACGATGATGTCATTATATTATGTAGCGACAATAATATTCACATTACATAGAAGTAAAAAATAAACTTTACGGATTTTTATTATTTTGAGGAAAACAATTGAAATATATGCTAATTATTTCACCACGTTTATACCCAAATATGGTAGAAAACTTAACATTGATATTGACAAAAAATATGTAATTTCCAGTCAGTGCATGAACAAATCAGTTATCTTCGACTATGTTTCACTAATAGTTTCGTGTAAACAAGGGGGCGTTTCTGGGCCATACTTATTGACAATATTTAAGAAGTATTTTACAATACACTGTATTTTTTCATGGATAAAATTAATAAGAAATATTTACCTTCATATCCTTTCATTTCTATAATCCTTTGGTTTACTTTTTAACCGGCTGTCACTTTAAATGTCTAAGCCTCGATCTGTTTTACCTGTGAACAAGTGCCTCAGGTGCGATATTATTTATTTCAGACAGAGTAGTTTCCCCTTAGCGAAATCTTCTATGTTTACGTTAAATCAGGCGCGCCATTTTGAATTTTGGTTGATACGTTTGGTAAGCAATAACAACACTTACTTGTCAGCTAGTGTCACTGTACATGCTCTGATTTGGTTCGTATCTCAGCAAGAGGAAACTTTATATTTTAATATCTTAAACAGACAGTGAATAAGCGGTTTTAGTTAGAAATGTAACGGCTCTAATAAATATTTTTCGTTTCAAATATATAATAAATATTTTTCGTTTCAAATATATTAACGATTCACAGGGGTTCGTTACACATGTCTGAAATACACATAGAATACTGTGACCAATAATATCAGTATAGCATATATGTGTTTCAGGCATTTGTAACGAACTCCTGTATTTTAACTGTACGGATCATGCCACCACATGAATCACGGGGACAAGCAACTATTTATATTGATCTTGTTTAGACTTTCAGTCGATGGGTACGTTAATTAAAATATATCCCAATAAATAACGCACTCTGCGACTGAAAGTAATGTACCCAGCGACTGAAAGTCTAACAATATCAATATTGTAACAGAAAGGAGAATAGTGTGCTTCCACCAGGGATAGAACCCTCAATCTCCAGGTTCCTAGTCGCACTCTCTAGATCTACCACTGAGCTAAATGGAAATCCCCCCTAGCTTGAAGCTAGAAGGCGAATGTAAGCCTATACATGTATGACAATTAAAATCTGCCACACTATTTATAATTAACAGTAGTTGCATGCCCCTGTGCATGAATCATATTGGGCTTAACGTCACATTACCCCATCCAGCATTTTGGTAACTGTACAGTAACAATTTGATTACTGAAAGATGTATGTGCCATTACTGAAATGGTAATATAGTAAATAAAAACATTAAAAGTTCAACAAGCCCCCCCCATGAAAGGCTAAAGTCACCCTTAATTTTAACCCTTGATAAATCCAGAGACGTATATACTACAGAGTGGCTTTATATAGTCCTATTTAGTATTTAAAGACCCCAATTAAAAAAAGGAATTCACATAATATATATGTGTACTGTTGAATATATAATTTTTTAGGTGGACCTATGATGTAAGCATTTGTTATTTAATATAGCCATAATACGTAGAGCATTTTCCAATTTCTTGTTTACACATATTTGTAGTGCTATTTTAGCTTCCGCTTGACCTAATTTTCAAAACAGTGTTTTCTGATTAAATGGTGAAAATTATCACTCAAATATACTTTATATATACAAAATAAAAATTATGTTAAAAGTTTTGTATATTATGGCAGAATTAATGTTCGCATGCAGAATAGTAAGATGTAAATGAATTTTAGAGGACATGACATTTCATAACATTCTATGATGGTGTTGAATGTGTAAGACATGTTATAAACATTGAAACTGAAAAGTGCTATACTATAAATAACATTTCTGGCTTTTATAAAAAACATTGAATGTCAAGAAAAGACCTGTTATATGAAATTTTAACTTTTTAGTATTCTTTACGGTCATGATCACAATGCTTTTGTTTATATACTGGTAAAATATGTTGCTCAGGATTTTACTATGATATATGTACATGTGTTTAGACAAGCAATTTAATTTAAACACTTCTCTTTCTTCAGTACACTGATCAAGATTAATCATTAGTGCCAAACATGGATGACAGATCAGCTTTGGAGAACTTTTTCACACAGCTCCGTAAGGTTGGCCTTGCAACAGAACGGGGTGTGACTGAATTGATAGAGGACTATGATAATAACACTAAAAGATGTCCTTCTAAAGCCATATTGAAACTATCAGACTTAAAGAAGGAAGTCAAAGAGACAAAGGTATGTATATATCAGCTGATGATGCTGACTTGCTGCAAGCAGTGGTAGTCAAAACACCACATTTTTAAAGGAAGTAAAATATTTCTGACTTGAATCTGGTAATAAGTAACAGAAATATATTTTATTTGGCTGTAATTAGCAGACATGTTCAATACGAGGAAGTGTAAGGTATATCTGTTAAGGCCAAACAAAATATAATGTTTCTTTCTAGAAACATGTATGGAAAAGGAAGGTAGGTAGGTAACAAATTTCATCTTTAAAAATATTTTTATATATATATTATCTTTAGGTTGATCTTGACTTTTACAGAGTTTCTTTGAAAAGTGCTTTAGTAAGTCTAGGGTTGGCACAGAAAACAACCTTGGTAGGGTAAATGGAAACACAAAATATTTTTTTGCTTGGCATTATTTTAAAGCGCCTTAAGTTAGAGTAATTTTACTAATTATATAGGGCGCTATATAAATGTTGTATATTATATTATTATTATAATACAGGTGGATGTGAGGGGTAAGATGGAACACATGCAACAGACAGGTCAAGCATTTGATGAGTTCCTGGGTCTGTGTGGCTCCCTGATAGCAAAACAAAAGGCAGCAGTACAGGATATTGAGACCTTCATGCAGCAGTATGGCTACACACCTAAAGGTACGTCATGTATAGCAGTATGGCTGCCATCCCTGAAATTCCAGTATATCTGCTGTCAATACACATATTTTTACATAGTACAGTTTTTGTATAAAAGTATGGCTACACATACATGAAGGTACAGCATACATATAAAAGTATGGCTATAGACAAAAAGGTAGAGTTTCATAAGGAATATTTCATGTTATACAGTATGCATGGGCAAAATTTCTTCAGGTAAATTTAACCAAAAAATCCTAATCTGAAATTGACATCAAGGATTTTTTTCATATCAAATATAGGTCAATTTTGCACCTATAATTGACTATTTTGTATCCTTTTCAGGTATACTTGTCACTGGAAATTCACACACACACATACAAATTCGTATAAGTCTGTTAAAAGGACATGTTTAAAATTTCCAATCAAAAAAGTATGTGATATTCGCCAATATAGCTTTTTAGGTCACCTGAGCTTTGCTCAAGTGACCTATTCTAATCGCTTTTCGTCCGTCGTCGTCCGTCGTGCGTCGTGCGTAAACTTTTACATTTTCAACTTCTTCTCAAGAACCAGTGGATGGATTTTTTTCAAACTTGGTCAGAATCATCCTTGGTAGATGAGGCTTCAAAATTGTAAAATTGGGATTCCTACCCCAACCCCTGGGGCCAGGGCGGGGCCCCAAAGGGAAAATTA